TTCTTGTCTAAGTTAGAGCATGCCATACCATCCAGGGTATAGAATGCCATTTTTCCCATATGGAGTGGGTTGTTGGCTTCAGTAGCTACTCAGATGAATTTCATCATTTTTGTAATCATCTTAGCTACCTGCCTTTGTTCTTTGCTGCATGAATTAAGCTACTTAATTGAAAACTGTTTCTTTAGCACAGCTAGATCCAAGTTCATATATAGATGATTCTGTAACTTTCTAGGCTGAAATGTCCAGACAAGAAGCATCTAACACATATATTTGTTTCACATCTTACAGGCTTTGAATAACCTTGGGAGTGTTTATGTGGATTGCGGGAATCTAGACTTGGCAGCTGAATGCTACATTAACGCTTTAAAGATTGGCCACACGAGAGCTCATCAAGGCCTCGCCAGGGTTCATTTCCTTAGGAATAACAGGACCGGTGCATTCGAGGAAATGACCAAGCTGATAGAGAAGGCCAGGAGCAATGCATCAGCATACGAGAAGAGGTCTGAGTATTGTGACCGGGATCTAACAAAAGCTGATCTGCAGATGGTCACCAAACTTGACCCCCTCCGGGTCTACCCCTACAGATACCGTGCTGCTGGTAAGCGCTTGTACCTGCCTAGCATATCTAGTTTTAGATCACCAGTATCAAAGAAGGTTGAAACTTTGAATATAAAATTCTGGTCAAAGTAGTTCAATTTGTTATTGGTTGTAGCTCATCTGCGCCCAACTCCCAGAGAGGGTTTGTTGGCACTTTAACAAACCAACTACCCAGTTCCTAACATGGGCTAGTAATAATTCAATGTTGTTTGCCATATTCTATGCTCAACCTGATCAGTTGGTGTAACAACCACATATTTCATTTAGTTCCTGAATTAGCTCATCTGTTTAAAGTTCTCATGCCCCCTTTATGCTGATGTGAACTCCTGTATGATCTGGTCCTCAGTTCTGATGGACAACCACAAGGAGAAAGATGCCATCTCAGAGCTGACCAAGGCAATCGCCTTTAAGGCGGACCTGAACCTGCTCCACCTGCGTGCGGCCTTCCATGAGCACGTGGGCGACATCTCAGGCGCCCTCCGGGACTGCCGTGCAGCACTTTCCGTGGACCCCAACCACCAGGAGATGCTCGAGCTTCATCACCGGGTGAACAGCCAAGAACCCTGAGCCCGTTGTTGTACATACAGGAGGGGCTCCCATAGCGAAAACCCATACCAGTGTATGTTCTGTACCATACGCAGCAAGCAGTAATTTTTAGTTTTGATGGTGTCTAGTGCGGCTGTAAGGATTGTGATCATCAAAACGACTAAAATTAAGCCACGTGCTATATGGAAAATATTACATTCCACCTGTGTCACTTGGCTACACTAACTGGGCAATAGGCTTCAGCATGCAACAATACACTGCATACTGCCGATTGAACCGAAGGCCTGGCTGTTGTGTTCTTCAGTTTTTGGACTGCTGTAAGATCCACTTCATTTGTGTTAGTACTTAGTAGTGAATCTGTTGCGACATGCAATTTGATATGTCCATTGTGTAACCATTTTCGTACTTTGTAAACTGCTGAATAGCACTATTAGTTGATCCTCAGGCTGCAGATGTAAAGATAGTCCATGTAGTTGTCTTTGTGTGATTAACTATGGTTAGGGCCTGCAAATTGGATATCATTTCTGATTATCATGGTCGGTAAACTGGTAAATAACACTACTAATAGTTGCATATGGTTGAAGACTGGGATGATCTGCATGAGTTGGTTACCACTGCATGTTATTCCCCTGATGGACAGGTACAGTTATTTTCTTGTTAGTGAACATGTGTACTTTGTGTAGTGGCCATGAAACTAGATGAGCTTATGTTATATTTCTCTGTTACTTTTGAAGGTTGCAATGGTGGCCTGGTGGGATCTCACAAGGGAAGCTGCCATTTATTTGATACAACTGGTATGCCACTCTAATCATAGTTAAACTCGATGTTCTTTAAAATTAAGTAATAGTAGGCTGATATAAGAAAGCATCAACGTATAGACATGTAGTAACATTATCTAGTGTTTGATTCTGTTGATGACTGCCGAAAAGAAGCTTCAGTACAAAAGTATCTAAGAATCGGGAACAAGAAATCTGGCCAGAAGAAAATTACTGACTTCATGTGCATGATTGTGCAGTGCATGCATTTTAGGAAACTTAATACTTCATTAAGAAACATTCATGCTTAGCCTTCTCAAGATCTGGACTCTAAAATTCAGGTAACGTGATGCCACCAATACCACCTAAGCATCTGTATCTTGCGCTGCAGTTTGCTCAAGGAAGCTCCTGGCAAGTCCTGACCACTTCTGCAGATTCAAGAATCCGTGTTGTTAATGGCTATGGGCTTGTTCACAAATTTTTAAAGGTAATATTTCGTTCTCCTCCCATTATAAATTGTCTTCGATATGTTTGCTGATCAAAATACAGTTTTATTTTTTGCAAATCCAGAACACATGAACAATGTTATTCTGTTTAATGCAATTTGCGCTGAGCTGTTTCCCTAGGAGGAAATAAGCATGTTGGGGCTGCCCAGAAAGCGCGCGCACACACACAGAGGAGAGCACACAGGGAGATTTGGGGCTCCGCACGACTCATGTCTTTTCACTGTTTCTTTCTTCTCACTAACAAATGAACCGGATACAAGTACAATAGCCTAAATACTGAAACATGCAACGCACCAAGCCACACTGTGGCCTGATCTTAAACTCACTCTCCACTAGCTAGCTACATGCACGCACAAGTTCTCCACTTGTGCAGCATCTCCGCAATGGCTGCACAAGCCAGCCAAAACAGCATGCATTCAGCCGGCTGACACTAACAACCTCCATGCAATCTAGCTAACTAACACAGGCATACATGGCACTTGCACGTCCAGGCTGCATGTTCATTGGGTGCATTGGGGCCATTCCGGGTCCACTGAAACACGCGCCTACACAAAATGGCTCCAAGAGCACTTGCATGGTTGCCCTCGGCTACTAACTTGCGATGTGCTCACGTCGCTGCCGCTGCACAGGCTTCTATCTCTGCTTCTCCTGATGCTGATCAGCCCTTGTCATGAGGCAACACATGCAATTTTCCTTGAACCTACTAATGAAATTGTATGACAATGAAGCTATGCAATACAAATAAACTTGAACTAGACCTATACAACAAGGTTATCTCTAACAGAGCAATGCAGTAGTGTTAGTTTGGGCCTTTGCATTCATCTCTGTTTGATATTTTCAACAGGGGTTCAGCAATACCAGAAGCCAGATCTCAGCTTCTGTAGCTCCAGAGTGTAAATTTGTAGTCTGTGCAAGTGAGGGCTCCCATGTGTTAATGTGTATGTCTGGAGACATGGCAACAGTCCCCGTCCAAGCAGAAGCAGGAGTCCATGATGTAGCTGTCCAACTCGCATGCCCAGTATCATTTGAGCGTCGTAGCAGCAGGCAGCCAGACACAGCGATTCAGACGGTGCAGTGAACTCTGTCCCTGAAGCTCCTGTACAACACGGTGAGCATGAACCGAATGGGGCTGCTCACAGATGCATCAAGAGCCCAGTTCGCGAAGCTGGTTCAAAGCAAAAACACCAGCAATCATCCAGTTGAAGCACTGTCCCCATCCTTGCCCGACGAACAACCACCGTCTGCCAAGAGCAGTCGTAGTCGTGGCTGTCCAGCGCCTGTCCGCGTGGGGTTTGGTATTTGTCACCTCAGGACGAGGAGAAATCAGAGTGTTCCTGAATTCTGGTTTCCCTATTCGAGTGTAAGAGCGTGGAGCTGTTGGTTTCTTTACTGTATAGTTATCTTTTATTTCTTCACCAGTTCACCTAGAATCTCAGCTATTTGGAAGTTCTGGGGACTGGTTAGCATGCTACGTTTTTCTAGTTTGGTCAAAATTTGTCTTGTTACATAGTAGTATTGTTACATAATATTTCATTCATTTTTTTTTTGTGTGTATCATGATGTTTCTTTTAGGACTTTGATAACTGGCGAACATCAGATTTGTTTTTGATGGGGTACGCCAGATTTTCAAGCATGACAAATGAACCTTTTGTTATGGCAATTTCCATGTTCGTTTTTTTTGCTGGAATTTGCCGTGATTGTTAAAAGAAATTGCCAAAAAAGTGTGATTTGCCATGCTTAGCCAGTGAACTTCATATTTTTTAACATTTCTGTCCTTTTATGTGCAGGTAAAATGAGAGGGTACTTGTCAGATGTTTATCTACTTTTATGCGGTTTCTTCATTTTTTGGGCTGTATCTTTCGTCGTGTATACTAGTAAAATAAGAGACTTGTTAGATTTTTATGTGGTACAGTTTTTATTGGGTTTCGTCGTGCTTGAGGATGTATCTTGATGTTTCGTCGTATATCAGCAAAATTGGGACGCATGAATCACTGAACACATTCAACGGTGGATCGAGGCATGTCATGTAGTTTGCGTGGTAGAAAAATGACCGTTGAAAGTTTCTCTGTTTTGAGATCACTCTGTTGAAAGTTGTCTCTGTTTTGGTGCCTTGAGAGCTCACTCCCGAAACCACACCGTTCTTTCTACTGTCGATGCAAGCCTCTCTGTAATTGTGTAGTTATAGCAGCCACTACATTTATTTGTTCTTTCCTAGTGTAAGTTCATGATGAAGATAACATTTCGTAGTTCCCCACTGTTTTTTCTTGCCAGTGACCAATAATTGAGCAACCACACCATATAACCATTTATTATTGCAAATATATAAAATATTATATCACTTCACGGACCGAGTTACATACTTAAGTCCTCCTCCCTGCTGCTACACGACTGATCATGGTCCATTGGTTCAAACAATAATCGCCACATCATTTATACCTAAGCATCAGAAGAAACACTGCAGACTGGTACGTACATTCCTAGCTCAGGAGACAGACACACTGCAGACTGGTAAAAGTAAGCAACTAGCTGACCGATCGAGGCTGCGATGATAAAACAGGAGCCTCGAGCGCGCCGACCGACATGACGACGCCGATCATCAGTTGCCGGCCTCCGGGGGTGGCGGTGGTGGCCAGGTGAGCTCAAGGCCGCCGAAGTCCTCCCATGCGCCGGTGGGCGCCGCGAGCCCGTCGTAGAGCCCGAGGTCGAACTGCGGCAGGAAGGCGGGGCCGCCATCGGTGAGGAACGGGAAGACCGGGAGCGGGGGGAGCGTGTCTTGCTCCTGCTGGTCCGGCTGCGGCGAGCCGGAGGAGGGCGTGTGGGGCTCGGCGGAGGGCCTGCGGCGCTTGCTGCTGCTGCCGGAGCCGCGGCGGCAGGCGCCGCCGACGGGGACCTTGCGCAGCGTGCCGCCGTGCGTCCAGTAGCGGCGGCAGGTGCGGCAGTAGTGGCGCGGCTGTGCCGTGCTGTAGTTGTTGTAGTAGCAGAACTTGGTGTCCGTGGAGCTGCACCGTGGGCACTCCAGCTTCGGCTGCTCGCTCTGGCCGTTCTTCTTGCTCACCGCGCTCTCCTGGACCTGATCACCACAGTTCACCAGACGCGCGCGTCAGTACGTACGTTGCTTGCCGGAGAATAGACAGAGTGAGCAGTGAGCAGAGACTGACCTGCGCGAGTGATTGCTCTTGCTCAGCAGCGTCGTGGGCGGAGTCGGCGGCGAAGGGGCGCTTGGCGCCGGCGGAGGCTGGAGCCATAGTGTGCCGTGCGGGCGGGGCAGCGCATGCCGTGTCCGGCCCGGCCGGCTTAAAACGAGACGAGCTGCGGGCGCGCGTGGTGATCACCAGCTAGCTAGCTCTACCCGTAGCTAGGCAATTAGCCAGGAGAGGGATGGAGAGAGCGAGACGTAGCGGTCAGTGTGAGCTGGATGGGCGGCAAGCGGCGGCGGCAATCAGATGATGGATGGATCGACGGGAGCGGTTGGTCGTGGGCTACTAGTAGTGGTAACCTATGCGAGGCCGTGTGCCCATGGGGTGTCCTATACATAGAAGCCGGCGCGGCGGCGGGTCCCGCGGTGATGCGGCATGGACGTACGGCCGGAGAACCTGATGCTCTCCTTGCGTCCGAATGCAGCTTCCTCCACCGTGCACAGTGCACCCGGCCGCGTCGGCGTCAGCGTCGCGTTCTATCTATGTCTGTGTGGCACGGTGCACCGGCGACGCAGACCCGACGCGCACGGCCATGCCGTATTAGCAGCAGGAGTAGGAGCGTAGGACCGTTCGTTCAGTTTACCAAGGAAACCGAACGGCCGGCCGGCGGCCGGTGTGCAGAGGAGACTGGAGAGTTCTGGGTCCGCCCTCGGCCGTGCTTGATAGATGGATGGAATCTTGCAAATTGAGTTGGCGCTGGTACCGGTCAAGTCCAGACTTGCATATGCACGCGCGGCACTGTGCAAAGATACTGTGATGGACGTGTACGTGATCGGCGAGTGGGCATCGTCGCATCGGCATCAGCATCTGGCGTCGCCGCCACTGGGCCACGGCGGCGCACCGGCGGCGAAGGTCGGACAAGTCCAGTGTGTTGGTCGTCGGGGCGGATCGGCGTTAATGGGGACGGGCGGACGGACGGACGCGAGCTGGCGGGCTAGAGCCGGTCGGTCGCCGTGGTGCTGGTCGCGTCAGGGTGACGCGGCGCGGGGCCCGGCGGAGGTTGGCGAGCTAGGCGAGGGGGCGTGTCATTCCTGGGGAGAGAGGACGAAGGGGGACATAGTCGGTGCGGCTTTTTCTACGCGGCGGGGCCACCCGCACCATGCGACGGCTACGGCGCTGTCACAGTCGTGGGTTTTGTCTGTCGTCCCGGGTGGACAAATTCACCGTTTCTTCTAAACTTAACCACGATCTGACCCCATGCGTTAAAGTTTTTCGGATCTGATCGTGCTAAACTAACAAAAAAGAAGGGTTAAAACAGTGAATTTGGCCAAAACTTTCTCATGCTAAGGATCAACTCCAGACCACCTCTACGTATATAAAACTTTTCCTATGTCTAAATCGATAGTGTCATATAGTCCTTTTTAACACAGTACAATTGAAGTCGCTCACATACACGAGCCGACACTCACCCTTATGAAGGCACGGACGCACACTTCACCCCTATGAGCACCCCATGAGACTGAGCCCGCATAACATCTTGAGATTTTACGAAAGTCGATGAGAACGTCTCCTCTCACTGAACGAACATCATCGGAAGTCTGAAATAAAAACAGGAGTAATGAGAGCACCAACATCAAGTATATATAGGACTGAACGCTGGTGTGTTGGGGATACCACTGTCCTCCTAACCATCCAACCACATGTTGGTTCGTGATGATGTTAAATAGTCATATGGCGTGATCTCGATTCTTCCTAGTATTGCATAAATCCCGACAGGAAACATCGGGGATGACACATAGACAAAAAGGGGTCATATATTCACCGTTAGCTGCCTGTTTTTATATTTTAAAAATCATTTGATTTTTCCAGCACTGTCGGATGAAATCCAACGGTTGACTGTGCTTCCTTGTTCTCCGGATATTCCTCCTCGTGATTTCCCTCTCAAACCGCCTACCCCACTCCATTCACAGTTGGCGGCACTGCCGCCTCCGACCATCCCTCTGAATATCCCCACATCAAAGTTGTCTCCAACAATCCCACACCCTACCCAAACCTGACATAGCCTACTACTCACTACCGAGGTTGACGCCTCGGCCAACCATGGCGCCACTGTCTCCAGCTCGAGGTTATGCATTCTACATCTTCATCCAAATCGACTGCCACACTTTTTTTCCCAGGAACTGAAATTTAGCAAATGCAACAAGAAATGACCATCTGATCCGTGATCTTCGATTCTCCTCACTCTTGCAAGTTTCAACACATGGCTCAACCAATTATGTTGGTTATCTTATCTACAAGATAGACATCTTTTTCGGGTGACACATTACCAGAGAGTACTGTGAGAATCAAGTGGGGGCATAGTTAAAAAGTTCACAAACTTTTCATTTGGAATTCCGTGATTTCAAGGGCTACCAAGGAAATTGTCTTGAAATTTCTTTCTGGCCATGTCTAAACTAAATTCAATTTTTTGATCAACAAATCTCATTTTAATCAAATTTGTCCAAAATGATTTTCAAATTCTAGACACGCGGCGATGGAGTGTAATAAAGCAGTGAAATCACAGAAGTGCCACGGTGATGCTAACATGGGGACATTGTAGGTCGAGATGGAGAAGCCGGGGGCGACACAGTGGAACCCAAGCGAAGAAATTTTTGAGAATGTTGTAGTTGCCCTAGAAATAGTTTTAAATGTTGATATTGATATCCATATGATCAAATTCTTCTAATCCCCTTGTATTTTGCATGATTATAATATTTTCGATCAAAGTACTACGGTTTCCTAACGGACGGTTTATCGTAGGCTTCTCGTGCGAGAAATAGCAAAACCAAAATGGTAAGGGCATGCATGCACAATCATTATACATACTCAATAGTAAGTATCGCTGATTTAGTACAAAGTTAAGGGTACCATATACTCCCTCCGTCCGGAAATACTTGTCATCAAAATGAATAAAAGGGGATGTATCTAGATGTATTTTAGTTCTAGATACATCCCTTTTTATCCATTTTGATGACAAGTTTTCCGGACGGAGGGAGTAAGTCATTTAGAGAAGACAAAAAATTATCATATTATACAAATGCAATGAAAGTATATCCTATTGTTTTCTCCTACATGTGTGGGTGATTTGGTCTATCCGGCGTGCGTTACGAGGCGGCTATCATGTTTGCTGCGGGGATGGATCCAGTGTAAACGTGAGTTGAGTGTGTCGGCAGAAGATAAGCCACGGGCAGTACCAGTAGTGCAAGGGAGGCTCAATAGAGAAATGGCATGCACTTTCGGCAACGCACGGACGTCAACCCTTGACCTTGACTGGCTCTACAGAGCCGTGCAGCCTTCCAATTCCCGGCTCCGTCAACCCCACCCGTGCGTGCGCGCACAAAATAAATAATGCTGCATTGGATGCGGACCGATCGGAAGAGAATGTTGCCGGTACGGCGTGCTTTACATACCAGCTCGCTTGCAACCGAGCTCAAATTCCTCTTAAAGAATAAAGGTCAAACTAGTTACAGTAAAAAAAGGTGATCTAAACATTTTTATATTAGTTTATAAAGGGAGTATGAATTAAGATGGCGTTAAAGCGCCGTTCCTCTACATGCGACGGAGAAGATAAAATGGTTTTCATTGCCTCGCCCACATATTCGCCGGCACCGCCCCCTCCCCACCCCCGCCTCCCGTGCTTCGGCAGGAGGGATCCCGTCCTTTCTTTAGGTAGTTTCAATGCGTTGGTCGGGGTGATAAAGCAGCGGCGGTGTCTCGGAGTTGGAATAATGTCTTTACCATCATATTCCTGCTACGGTGGTGCGCTTAGGGCCGGCGGAGAGCATGTGAAGGTGTGTCTTCAACGAATCTTCTTGGATCCAGTTGGCGGTGGTCTCAAGTGAATCTGCTTGGATCCGGCCGGTGTTTGCCTCTGGCGGACATGGATTCAACCGATACTCATTTCCGTTGTTGTATTTGTAGATGTGGCCCATCTATCTACGATTATTGTTGTCAACGACAGTTGCTGTTCTGGTGCGTTGATCTTCTGAGACCGTACCGTGACGAATTTTTGACTGTCTACTATAACAAAGTTTGTCCGGCTCCGATGAAGGACATGAGATGATGATGGCTGACTCAAAATGCTTGTTGCTGGTTATGGGGATTAATGTATTACTTTACATGCTATTAATAGACGAGAGGGCTTAAAGAAAGAATTAAGATGGGCACCAGAACGAGAACCTTGGGTGTCTTTGATTGAGTTACCAAATGAAATGGGATATCATGGTTCTGTCCAGTGGAATGGGATAGTTGCGTCTTCTACATTTGGTTTTAGATCCCCCGTCCACCACTGTCGTCTGGGACCACCACACAACCCCCGCGGTGCACCGTTGTCGATGCCAAAATCCGATAGGGAAACACTTTTGTAGAGGGAGGAAGAGGGCTAGACGAAACTCCATGTTATGTGACGCTAATTCAAGCGAGGATCGAGGTGATCCGGTCAATATAGCGTGGTTCCATATATATATCGGAGGGACATCCCTCTAGGTGGAACCAATACATTCCATTCCGCCTCCTCAACCAAACACTAGAATGGGCACCAGCAGATGCAGAGCTGACCCCATTACACTCCATTACTCCAACCAAACACACCTTAAAAAGTGACACTTGTCATAGAATGTTCTCGGAAGCAGTTCTAGAGATATCAACAAAAAGCCAAGAAAAACAGGAAGTGCTAACCACAACGAATTCAGACGATACAAAAGGCTCACGTTCGGAATGGAACCACAAGTGTCCTGCCGACCAACGTTTGCAGTGACAGCGACTGAGCGCTGCAGGCGATAGGAACCGCAACCGCAACCGCATATGATTGAGCACTAGTTCAATCATGAGCTCCATCACAAGTTGCGTTTAGACATGGCCGTGCTCTTGATCTCGAACGGCTGGTACGTGTACGCACGCCTCCTACTTCCCCTCTCGCCCGGCCATCAACTTGTTAATTTCTTGTTACAACTTACCATTAAATATACTTATAGTACATTTATGGGACGAAAGGAAATATATAATTTGTACGTGTGTACATGCAAAGATGACAACTAGTTAATACTACAACGAAAGGAAATATATTAATT